AGGTCTGACACCACAGAAGAAGAGCTCAGACAGGTCTGACACCACAGAAGAAGAGCTCAGACAGGTCTGACACCACCAAACCTTCAGTACATGTCTGGTTTCTGATGTTCTACAGGTTCCGTCATGGTTACTGTAAAGGAAACCCCAGGAAGATGGTGAGAACATGGGCTGAGAAAGAGATGAGGAACCTCATCAGGTCAGAATCTTTCTACTGTCTAAGAGAACCCAGCAGAACCGGATGCGACTGACACATAGAACCCAGTTGAACCCGATCATTTGACAGGGAGAACTTAGTGCTGAGTTTGAGGGGCACAAGTACGTAAAGCCTGATCCGATTGGTAGAAGTGAGTAGAACCTGATCTGACTGACATGCAGGTTGTAGTAGAACCTGATGTGGGTGCTACCTGTCAGATGACCCAGTAGACACATAAGACTCAGTAGAATGTGATCTGATTGGTAGAACCCAGTAGAACTGATCTAACAGGCACATCCCTGTAGAACTTGATAAAGCTGCAGGTAGAATTCAGTGGAACCCACAGAACTCCCTGATAGAACACAGCAGAACCTGAAAGTTGATGTGTTTCAGGCTGCAGACGGCGGGAATCCCGAGTCCAGAACCTCTGCTGCTCAGAAGTCACGTTCTTCTGATGAGCTTTATAGGAAAAGACAACATGTAAGAACCCGTCAGGGTGATCAATCAGATTGATTGATTGATTGATGGATGGATGCACTTACATGTCATCCATTGATCGTTCTCTATTGTATTGATTGTTCTCTGGTGTTTTGATCGATCAGGCCGGCTCCTCTGCTGAAGAACGTGTCCTTGTCCGAGTCGAAGGCTCGGGAGCTCTACCTGCAGGTTCTGCAGAACATGAGGAAGATGTTCCAGGACGCTCGACTCGTCCACGCCGACCTCAGCGAGTTCAATATGCTGTGAGGCGTCCTTTTCAGAATAAACCTTGTAAAAGACGTTCCGTCATCGTTCTCTAATGGCTCCTTACCTGTCAACAGGTATCACAACGGAGGCGCTTACATCATTGACGTGTCACAGTCGGTGGAACACGATCATCCTCACGCTCTGGAGTTCCTCAGGAAGGACTGCAGCAATGTGAACGGTGAGGCGATGGTGAGCAGGTTCCTGCTGAGTTTTCTGAAGTTCAGAATGAACAAAGACAAAGTTCTGTGGATTCTATGATTGACGTCATTCTGTCTGCGTGTAAAGAA